CGAACTAATCTCCTCCTTCTAATTTCTAAAGACCGCGCCCTACCACTGGACTACGTTAGCATTACTTTGGGGTCGTAAGGGTTTATATTCTTCCATCGATGTGACTTGCATCTTGGTCCCGCTATTTGTTTAGCTGGCCATCCTTTTGATATAACTGCTTGCTTCAGCTATCTTCTGTGTACTCAAAGATATACACCATTTATTATATAAATACCTTTATGTCTTTAAAAGAAACGCTTGAATCTTTATTTAAGATTAAATTGTAAATTTAATTCAAGCACAAATAGTATTTGTTCGTCCACCATCCCTTTTGCGTTTGAAAATATAAAGAAATATATATATATATAAATGAAACAGTTTTTAGTGAGGTTGAGATCCATTTGTTTGTTTGCTAGTAGGTGGAAATCCCTCCTTTGTTACTTAGAAAAACATATTTCAATTTCACAGGCACGAGTTCTAAGCCTGGCACTTGCAGTCCGAACAAATTATATACGGACTATAAACTAATTAAATAAAATTCGATTATTTCCAAAGACCACTGATGAAGAGTATTTGGCAATACTCGAAACAGCGTTGTATGAACAGCCAAATTTCAATAAATTAAAAATAAAAAATTTTTGTCTTTGTCCTTTCTTTGCTATTCGAATCCGTCTAACTTTTAAATAGTTTCTTTCGTCATAAAAAGACACACCATTATCGGCAAGAAAAAATTAACCTTATTTTAAAAGCTTTTTAAAATCTTAAATGATAGGTTTTTGAAAGAAACCCTTATTTCAAAATTATTTTTATGAGATCCCTATAAAGCTTTAATAGATGCACGATAACTAATTAGAGAGCTGTGTAAACTAACAAAGATTTGATTGTGTTTGTATTCGAATATGTTTATATATGTAGTGTAATGTATAGAAACATTGAATATATATATATATATAAATGATGTAATATTTTTTTATTCATTAACTATTTGTATAATTGAGGAGATCAAATTTTATTAACTTAAAAGTTAGTCTTAAATCATATACACGATCGTTTTAACTCAAAATTTGACAGCTTTGTCTTTGCTTTAAATGGTATTGATATTCGAAATTTGGACAGAGATGTTATACTATCGCCGCATGTTTTTGTTCAAAGTTGGAGTCGTTATACAGCTTTGGTAAAAATTAATTACTAATCATTATAGGAATGCAACCCGTACACCACATATCATAAGTTGAACTTTTACCCTACAAAAGTGGGAACTCAATTTGAGGATTTAATAAGGATTCATAAGGATTTATGATGAGCTGAAAAAAGATTAGAATGATATAATTTTGCTGTAGTCGAACTACAATTCTTTTTAAAATCAAAAAGCATTTTCAACATAGAAATATTATATTAAAGAAAAAAATAATGAAGGTAATTTGAAGACAACAAATAAATTGTTAGTTGAAACCAAAAAGAACTGAGGATATATTAATATCCCTTGAAGTATTCGAAAGGATATATATAAATCTCTTTATATATATTTTATTGTATAATACAATATATATATCTAACACATTTGTATAATATTTATTATAGAAATATTTATTATTAAAAAAAACTATAAAACACAAATGATATAGCCTGCAATTTTAGGTTTTAATAAAGCTAGAATTCTTTCTCTTGAATAACTTAAGTATTGCATGTAATTTATTTTTTTATTTTACTTTTTTCTTAAATTATTTTTTTTTTTAATATTATTGTTGTTTTGGTGTTGCACCAAGGAATAGCCGTTTAACTAGTTAGCAGACTTCAGTAGTATTCTCAGCCGTAAATGCTGATATTCTGCCCGCAAGACATGCAATTTGTCAGTGGTATATACTTTGCACTGCTAACTATGATATGTGGTATTCTATCATATTAGATACAATTCAATTTAAAATAATTATAGAAAATACATGTTAAATTCAATTAAGTTGAAGATAATCAGCAACCACTTAGTACTGTCTGGTAATAAATAGTTCTGATTGATTTTGAAATTAAATTAGTGCTATAAGTTTAAATGGGATTATATACGTATTAAAAACCGACATAACAAGAAAAAGATAGTATCAGATAAATTATAATATATAATTAAAGATATGTTCTGACTTGGAAGAGATGTCTGTATTAAATGGCAAAAAGTTGTAATAATACAGGAATATTTTTTGAAATTATTATTAAGGCTATTTTTATTTCATATATGAAATCTATAAATCTTTTTTTTATAAAATTCTAGGCATTTTCTTAAGGCAACTACTAAATAGTGCTAATTTAAAAGTTTTAATCGATATATTTAAAATATGTACACATAGTATTATTATACTCAGAACATTTCCGCTTCTTGTTTTTGAAAGGAAGATGCTGCTCTCTGCAACTCATTTGAGTTTCGGTGATATGTATAGTTTTTTTACTATAATTTACATCAATTAAAAGAAAAATTTTAGAATATCTTATATCCATTTGATTTTAAACACCATTAAGCATTTTTTTCTATTAATTTTTTCAAACTAAAATATCAATCACTTCAACGAACTATTATATACGATAAAAATTAATCGTTTGTTAATTACTAACAAGGTCAGAGTTATATCATTATAGTTTATTTTATGCATTATATTTAATTATAAACTATAACTTAATCTGCATTTAAAATACTTTTTTTGAATTTGAAATGATTAAAAAAAACCTTTATTAATATATTCGAATACTTCATAATTTATATAAAAACTATTATGAATAGAAACTTGAACTAGAGAATTAATTCCAGAAATAAAATAATATTAATAGAACAAAGAGTTCTAGAATGTTTACAACAAATTTATATATTTGTAATAATATTCGATTGACTTATAAAAGCATATCCTACCATAATTCATTCACTGTCGTCACGATTAAGTGTAACACCTGAGATGGTGGAGGAGGTGGGGTGTGAGTAGAGAAGAGAAACAGAGGGGAGTTAGGCAACAGTTTCGTCTCTTATCGTATTGATGTGGCGATTTTATTGCAAATCACGTATGCTGCAGTTTCAGATAGTTTCCTTCTTAGGCCTTTGCGGTTAAACTATAGGATTGTAAGAGGGAAAATACCGACAATTACGATGACTACGCTTGTGCTTTGCGGATGTAAGTGGGTCTGATAAGGCATTAAGGGCGGTAGTTGGCAGCAAATGTTTATAAGATTTATAATCCAATCATGATCTTAATTCAGACTAAGGTCTAACGTGGTACTTGCCATTGCAGTTGTTGCTCTATTGCATACTTTGCAACGCCAAATAGTGGGTGGAAGTATAAGATGGTAGATGGAAAGGAGGGGGGAGGGGGGGATGGCGGTAAAGATAGGGTGCCTCACGCTGGAGGCAACTATTAGTTCACTCTGGATGAAACTATTAGTTCACGCAGGAGGTACCTATTAGTTCATGTGCGAGGTATCCAATAGTTCACGGTAGAGGCAACTATTACTTCCCTGTGAAGGCAGTCATTAATTCATGGTGAAGGCTGGAGATAACCATTACTTAACACATGAAGTAGTTATAACGAAAACTAGAAATGAATTTGAAAAATTAAATATTATTGAATTGCCCGAAAATTTCTATCGGTTTAATAAAATTCAATTTTAAACAAAAAATAAAACGTTGAGAAAATTTGCAATTTCGTATGAATTATTTCTATTATTTTTACCACTCCCAGATTTAATTATTGTATCTAAAGTTGAGAACTTGCAAAATAAATATATTTAAATATGTATATTGTACATAGTATAATTAATGCGTGCCAAATAATAATATTAATTTATTTATAAGAGATAAAAACCTAATATGTAAAAAATTATGTTTACAATGTACGAGAGCCTGAGGCAAAAGGGCGTATCTAAATCATGGAGAGACATATCTTTAAGATTTAATAGTATATATTTTGCATAAAAGCTAGAATCAGTGTACATAAAATCAGCATGGAAGCGCAGTGCATCAAGATGTTTATGTCGAACGATTAAAATCTATGTTAGCCAAGGCGTATCACTGCGTATGCCATTTATGCTCTGCAGATAATGCATCGCTCCATTTCAATTTAACAGCAACGCACACTGGTCACAGTGCTGTAAACTGAAAACTGGTTTGCAACATTGTTTTTGTTTTATTACTGATATAAACAATAAACAAACAAAATTATTCCAAGCGACTGCATCAATTAACATTGTCATTATCAAACATAACAGTGCGAAGTTACTGTAAGCCGAGGAATGCTGTTATCATTAGAATTTCAAAGGATATTAGAGGTAAAGAGAATTAATTAATTAATTATTTATATCAAAACAAATACATTTTTATTAAACAAATCAATATTTTTATTTTTGATTTACATTCTAAAGTTTTAATCTTTTTTTATCAGTTATTATTTAGCATATACCTAAAATTAATTTATCTATTCCTCTCTTATAAATTTCGAATTTTTTTTTGGAAAATTATTTTTTTTTTTTCATTTCCTACTATTCTAATAAATTGTTCGCTTCCGTTTTGCTTTTAGCTATAAACTCCTACACTCTTTTAACTACTTTGCTTCGTTTTGCTTTGAAGAGCCCATAAAAAATACCGGCAAAATAAAATTTTAATACTCTTAATTGTTATATGAACACTTCACATTATTAACATTTTAATGTTTATTATGGGTAAATAAATGTTATTAAAGTGTTTATTGTGGTTGTTGTTGTTGTAATTGGTTTTAGCTCTCTTTAAACAAGTTCTAGATTTTCTCTTTGTATACAAAATACAAATGAACACTCTGAGCCGAGCTATTTTAAGCATCGTAAACTTTTTATTGCGCATTGGTACGAGTGTTGTTGCTGTTGAATGAGGAAGAAGAGACTTAGTTGATTTTGTGAGGGTATATAGGAAATGTGGAGTCGTGCAGCTCAGACAATCTGGGTCACAATTTGCCATTGAACCGGTGACGTCACAGCGGGGCAATGACCGAAAAGCACCAGCAAAAGAAGCATTATCAGCAATGAGCAGCAGCAGCAATAGCAGTAACAGCAGCAGCAGCAGCAGCATTACTGTTGTGCTTCAGTGTACATCGCGCTCGTTTTACAACGATCAGGTTTTATTGCTGTTTGCATTTTGTTTCTTATTGTTCTTGTTGTTGTTGTTTAAGTTTAGCCTGTTAGAAAGTACTAAAGCATGCATTATCGCATCTTAGTATAGTTGACTTTTTTTTGGTCTGTTTGATGTTACAGCAACAAGAACTACGGAGTCTTTGTTGGTGTAACTGCTGCTGTTGTTATTGTTGTCGTTATTGTAAAGAAAAGGTGTATGTTGCACTATAGTTGTTGCTTTTTGCTGTCACTGTATCGTCCTCTGTCACTGTTGCGGAACAGACATTATTTATAAGTTTGAAATATAAATTGTTTAAGTGGGTGCAATAAAACTCAGAGGGAGGTATCGATCCTATACATTGTTTTAATAACTCTAATAATTTATTAATCTAATAATTTATTGTGCTATTTTTAAATAGGCAAATTCCTCAAATTGTCCAAAGTTTGTCAAATTTGTTTCAAAGCTCTTTGGTTCATCTCTTTGTTATTAGTGATATGTATCAAAAAAAAAATTAACATTACAAAAAAATTGATAATTAAATTAATATTAATAAAAAATTTTATTTTTAAAAACTTATAATTGAATAAGTTTTCTTGTTTTATATTCTATTTGGTGTTAAGTCTTTAAATCAAATAAATAAAATTAGCCAGAAACATTTTCGTAGGACTTCTTGTATATATTTTAATAAGTTTTCAATTAGCATATGTAATTTATATACAAATACAATCAATAAAATTTTTTGGAAAATTTTTTTTTTTAAATTTTATAAAATTTTCACAATAAATTAACAAAACTTCAGAAAAATGTGCGAATATAAAAGTCTAGGACGGCTTTGAGTCAGTTGATTAAGGAACGCTGACTCTAAGCTTCAAACTGGACACGAGTGCGATTCCTGGTACTTACAGTCTCAAAAAATTATTTACGTATAATTAAATACAAGAATTATTTCCAAGACAACTGATGATGGTTATTTAACAATACTCGAAACGAAATAGCTGTATGCTGAGCGAAAGATTCAATTAATCAAAATAATATAAAATTAATTTTTATTGTTGTAGTTTACTATTGTAGTTCACTCGAAAAACCTCTATATTCAGATTATATATAACAATTTATATATCTACAGTAAAATGGCTGGAATTATTTTTCCCATCATTTATGAAACTGTGTTCTGTTATAAAGGGTTATCCACTTATTGGTTCTTATTAGGCAGCACTGTTTTAGTAACATTTCTCAAGCAGAAATGTCTACTTAGGCATTATGTATTTACTTTAAAGTTTATCATATTACAATCCAAATCATTTAACAATGAATGTACTACTGTGAACTGTGAAAACTTTTTACAAATATTTACAATAATTTATCGCAGCAAATTTTCTTCAGTGTAAGAGGTTATATTTAACTAATTTGTCTTCTCTGGAACTGTCAAAATCCAAATATCCATTGTAACTACAAAAAGTCACCATATGGAATTTGATATGAATTTTTTTGATAGTTTCACTTTTTTTTTTTTTGAAAATGATGAAAGTATGTCAAATTTAAATTTTAATAGCCATAGATACTTTCTTACTAATTTGTTTTTGCGTACAAATTGACGATTTAGATGTTGTAGACAAAGTTGCAAGCTCGGCCTACTTTGGTTCTTTTGCGCAGATAATTTCCATAACAATTTCACGTTTGGGTGATGTCCGGAAAATTTTACGTTTGGCGACCAAGAAATGGTGTGAAGGTCTTTTTTGTGGAGGTCACTGAAAGAATTGTGTTTGTGCAGATAATTCTCAAACTTTCGACGCTTTGAAAACGATCATCCGTCATATTAATGCCAAGCTATAAGTAGGAATGAGCCAAAAAATTAATTAACTTGAAAGAAGGAGAAGAGTATACCGAGGACATTTGAAGGTTTTTTGTGTTAAGTTTTACATACAATGACAAGTTTGGAACAACACATTATTGCAAACAGTACTTACTTGGTTGAGTTCTCAGTCATAAGTGTATTTTATTTAAATTTTATTTTGAGATCGACAAAATAGATAACCCTGTATAATATAATTATACAATGTTTTAAAATAAGTTTTATATTTATTTTTAATATATTTCTCTATTTTATGCACCTTAATTTATAGGACGCAGCAAGTAATATAGTCAGGATTGTGTCAAGGGGAAATATACAAGGAAAAGATTGTTTGGTGTGCTCATTAGTCTTAGTTAACATTCTAAAGCGGAGATCTATTTCTTTCTCCGCCTTTTGACTATGTGACTGAGGTAACTCATATTACTACATGAAATGGACTTTCCACAACAATTTTAAACATTACAAATTAATTGTAAGTCTTATAAAAAAATTTTTGGATATGTTGGAAATGCTTTGCGATTTTTCTATAGAAAACGACTTTAGCAGTAGTTTTAATTTACTATTTCTGTTTTTCTCATTTTCCCAGCCAGTATATGGTTTATTCGCTTTTTCAATGTTGAGGCGATTTATTTTGATATCATTTGTGATGGATGTATGTATACGTGCGTATGAATGTTGATAAATATACATTTCGTAGATAATACATTGTGCTTAATTAAATTTTATTTGTCAAAAATACTAAAACTAGGAACAAAGAAGAACTTTGTACTTTGTAATGAAAGATTTAAAATAAACTTGATTCATATTAAATTTAGTTTTCAACAATATATTATATTTTTCTTGATACTGAATCAAATTTTTGATCTTGCTTACATATATAATATTCAATGCCTGAATTAGTTACTTAAGTAAATATTTTTTATTTATCATATATTATGCATATAATTATCACACTGTTTATTTTTTTGCTACTGATTCATGTGCATTAAATAATATCTCAGATATAATTTAGGCAATCAAAAGAATTTTTATTTTCTATGTTAAGATCTGGAGCTACTAGAATTATTTGGTACATTTACCCATTCGGTTTTTATCGTTTAATGATGATGAAACGTCATTATGTCCAAAATCAAACATTCTAAATATATACAAATATCACTGCTTGGTTTGAGTGTATTAAATAGGACATATTCTAATATTTAAAACTTTTTAAAATTAAATATAATTGACAATGGTTATTTATAAATTTTAAGATGTCATAGTTTTTGAATATATAGACATGTTAACAACTATTAAAAGTACTGCATATTAGGATTTAATATATTATTCTCATAATTTGCAAATAGCTTCTAATTTAATGTTTCAAAATAAATGTAGATAAGATTAAAAATTATGTGAGTTTTGTTTTATAGATTCCATTCTTGAATTTATGGGAGCCGAAATAGCTCAGTTGGGAGAGCGTTAGACTGAAGATCTAAAGGTCCCCGGTTCAATCCCGGGTTTCGGCAAAGAAATTTTTTTTTGTAATTTGTGAATTATATTTTTCTTGTTTTTTTTTTTGATAAGTGAATGTTGTTTGGAACATAAAAACAAAAAAATATTTTGAATATATAGCATTCAACTATATATTGACGGAGTTAAAAATGAGATATATTTTGTTCATATAACTTTTATATAGTATTTATTCGAAATAATAAGAAAGTCTAAAATTTCGGATTTTTAGATAATTATATATTTAATGTAACATATTAAAATTAAAGAGGATTATGGATTATGGATGAAGTATTTATTGAAGGCAAAATATAAATAAAGTGAGAATTGAGTTGAACTAGGCTAAATCAAAAAATCCAAACTATTTGTGGAAACATCAGATTTATTAAAATATTAGAAACAAATAATACACAAGAAACGCAATATTTCAAGAAGTGTAACTATATTTAAAAAATTTGTATTAACGATATATGCATAAATTCCATTTTTGCTAATGTAATTTATAACATTATCATAAAAACAACGAAAACTGACAGACTTACTAACACCGCGTTATCAAATCTCAAAATGGTTACAGGCTCCTCGAGAAGGTATACAGATCTGAGGTCAATTATTGCTTAGTCTGATGAAGTGATAAACAGTAATCCAGTCAAGGTGTAAAGAGGGGTTTTGAAAATATCTCGAGTTAAAAAAGAGTATAAGTGTTTAAGAGCACAAACTCAAAACAGCTACAAGATAATAATATATATATTCATTATACTATATCAATGAACAATAATACTTTATAAATACTAAATGTGAAGTATGTACTATTTATAGAAAGTGGAATTTAAACAATGTAAGAATTATAATTAAATTAAATTAAATTATTAAAACTAAGTTAAGTAAAAAGTCAAAGGACTATGTGCCGAAACCCGGGATTGAACCGGGGACCTTTAGATCTTCAGTCTAACGCTCTCCCAACTGAGCTATTTCGGCTTAGATCAACGGAATGATTTTAAATAATATATCAAAAATATATTTAAAAATCGTACAATACTGTATTCGGTGATAATTTATATTTTATATAAGTAAAACATGATCTAACATTATCTAAAGTTTTAAACTAATATTTTATTAATTTTATAATATTGAAAATTGTGAAATAGGTAGTTGATCCAGTTTAAAATTTGGTTGAAAAAGAGATGTATAAAATTAATTAATTCAATTATTCTACAGCTGTTTTATGATTTTGTTCTTATACTATAACACCACAAGTTAATTATATCATAGTAAACTTCGAACGTACAAGTCAAGTACGGCTTTGGGTCAGTTGGCTTATGCACACTGATATTGAGCTTCAAAGTTGACAGAGTAGGAGTTCAACTATTACTACTTCCAGTCTCAAATAATTATTTATGAATAACTGAATACTCGTGTAAGAAATATTTCCAAGCCTACTGATGATGGGTATTTGGCAAAAGTCAAAAATTCTATTAATTAATAAATAATAAAAATAATTTTTTTGTTGCGATATACTATTTTGTGAAATCTTTATAACAAAATATATTAGGTTCTATTAAGTAAAATAGTTACTACAGTTATATCTGGCGTTAAATTACAATATAAATTTAATAAAGAGGTCTTTTCGAACAGTAGTGAAATACAACAACAAAAAATTTATTTTTTATATTATTTTAATTAATTGAATATTTGGCTGATCATACAGCTGTTTCGAGTATTGCCAAATACCCAGCATCAGTGGTCTTGGAAATAATTCTTGTATTTAATTATTCGTAAATAATTGTTTTTGAGACTGTAAGTATCAGGAATCGAACTCGGGTCCTGCCAAATGTGAAGCTCAAAATCAGCGCACCTTAACCAACTGATCTAAAGCCGTACTTGACTTTTTTGTTCGCATATTTTTCTGAAGTTTTCTTACTATTACTATGAAAGTTTTTATTAACAATTTTACTTGCTGTGTCTATATTGGAATGAAATCATAAAAAAAATTAAATTTAATTTAATAATTAATTGTGTCAATGTTGATATTATTCTAATAGATGGAGAACTTTTGTATTTCTTTTCAGCATGTATGTATATGAATGTATCTCCAACAATAAGTCCGAGTAATAACAATAAACAATATCCTTTTACTATATATCGTATAAGCCAGTATTATACTTACTATTTTTTCACTGGAAAGTATAAATGAAGACTCAAAGGCAACATTCATTACCTTTTTATTGACTGATGAGCGTGTAGTTATTTGTACATTGACTGATATGTATATAATTAAAAAGATACTTTGGTAATGCCAATTGAATGGTCTATGCCTTTACAAAAAAATTCTATTGTGTTTTAGAATAATATTTAAGAGTCTTTTTTGAAGTTTATCTTTTAATGCCATAACAATAAATGTGCTCGCCACGTGCTGAAAGGTCTATAGAAACCATACGTGTATGTTGTCAATCATATGTGTAAATTAAGATACAATTTTAATATTTTTTTTAATAATAAAGATTTGAGAAAAATCAAATGTATAGAAGTTCAGTTGAAGTCCGAAAATCTTTGTTTAAAGTCTGACATCAATTGTATTTGCTTGCAATTGATTTCAAGTCCTACAAAGGTGTGTGATACGAGATGCACCTTTGCAATACATTCTCTACCTGCAATAAATACTCTAACTGCAATAAGAAATAAAACAACAAATATACTGGCCATTGCATTGTGACTAATGCAATGGCTTAATTTTTATATTGTAAATTTTGGTATATATGAACAATTACCGACTTCACATATGAATTATATTAGCAATTGCACTAAGCATTTGTACAGGCATTTCATGAATTGATCGAATAAATTGATTTTTACTGCGAGCACCTTGAGCAGGATTAAAATTGTGGGCACGTCTATTAGAAACACTTTCTATAAATTCATCAAAATGTGTCAACAACTGCGTTAATAATGCGATTTGCATTTTCTTTGTGAATTCGTCCTTTATGTCTTGGACATTGATTGAGATTTGGCCATTTTTCAGCTAAAGTCCTTTCAAATATTGACCGCTTTACTTTGTTCGCATTATACTCAGTCTGTCAACTGAGCGTACTGAATTGTTTACTTTGGTTTGCATTGAGTAGGCTTAACCTTAATTTCCTCTTCCTGGTCTATTAGTTGCGGTATCGCAATGTGTTTGTTGCCACTTTTTTTGTGAGGTGTAAGGAAAAGACGCAGTGTGTTTGGTTCTTCAGGTATTGTTAGTGGCCTAAACAGGATTAAAATTGACAATGTATCAAATGGACTGAATGGACTAAGCACTGATCGATGGCTAAATTAAGCATTTGTATTGAAATATTTATAGGCAGAAGGATGAGGAATATAATTTTCTTTCTCTAAAGGTGTGTCTGCAAATTTACATATATTTTATTATTTTATTTTCACTTTTGCATTAAAGAACAAAAAAATAACAACTATAACAGCTGTCATGGCTTTTAAGCACGCCTACATACATATCAAACTTCTATTAGATATATATAATAAAGAATTTTTAAAAGATATAAAAACTTGAAAGAAAAAACTATAATAAAAAATCACCTTCACCTTCAATAACCTCAAGCTGCTATTGACTATTATTACACTAAAAAAATTTTATATATTATATATTATACATTAATTCAAATATACTCGCAAGCACCCGAATATCAAATATCCTTTTAAAATCCTGCGTACAAAAACCAAAACAGAAGTTTGAATTTTTTTGTGGTTTCCTAAGCATTTATATATTTTTTTTCTATTGGAAAATGTAGCTCGTGCTAAGAGTGATAAAAAAAATATAAAAAATTAAAGAAAAAACTGCTGCCACAAACCTCAGACCACGAGCCAGGATTAATCCTTAAAAAAATTGTACAAAAAAAACTGATTTCTTTGCATAAAAAACCCAGTGCCAAGCAATTTAGTCCACTTTCCTTGGTGAATGAATGAAGTTGCGCCTCTCGCAACAAAATCGTTTCAAATAAAAAAGAATCTACGATTTCCACTGCTGCTTTCGCGTTTCAGAATGAATGAAAGTGATTATATTCTTCTTTTTTTGTGATTCAGAGTTTTTTATCTTTTCGATTTCATTTTTTGAGATACACTCAAATTGCAGCATCTTGTGCAGTGGCAGCAACAGCAGTTGAAGAGGTTTCGTTTAAAAAATGTGGTCTGAAGAATATTTTGAGCATTGAAAGAAAATACCAGAAAGTGAAAGGATCCTTTTGTTTGTTGTGTTGTTTTCAATGTGCGCCACCGGATTATATTGTCAAGGCTTAGGGGTGCCAATATTCAGTTCAACTTCTGTTGATGTTATCGCGGAAGTATTTTTTGTTGTGCTTACCTCAGAATGTTTTTTTTACAATTTGCATGGCAGAACTAGCCAGTCTGCCCGACAGTTGTGAGGGTGCCTCATTTCTTATTTTTTGCGCATATGCATGAGTTTTTTATTAACAAGCAGCAGTTTCCTTTTCATTTTTATTATGTGGATGGATTTTTTTAACAAGGCATATTTTAAAGATATTTTATGGCTATATGGCTATTATATGGTTTTTTTTTATTCTTCACTCCACAATTTTTTTATAAATCGCAATTTGAAATGAAAAAAACGTATTAAAATTATAACTACGGCTGTTTTATTTCAACGAAACCACGAAATAGTGTTCGAATGAGATATTATAGATAGAGACGAAAGTAAAGCTTCAAAGTTAGACTAATAAAAGAAATACAAACTGTGCTCTATATGATGCAGAACTTTTTATAACTCATTATTCTGTTCAATATTACACAGAACTCAATATGGAATTACTTACGTTTATAAAGTACTATAGACATTAGGTACTACCAACATTTACCGATCAGAAGTATTGAAATCCTTGTCATTTGGGTATGACTCATTAACCGCTTGGCAATAGCAGTAAGTCAAAATGGCGAGTAGCTTAAAAGACGGAAAAATAT